TCCGGAGGCCACTCATCCTCTATCTTCCAGAATTTACCAATTTCCACCATGGATTCTTTCATTACGACCTCGAATTAGTCCACATGAATTTTTTCAGATTTTTAATAGGCCGAATAAAAATTTTTATTTTCCTCCTAACAGTCCTATTCGAAAAAACGACCGAGGCACCTTCGGACGGCCGAAAGTGCCGGAAAACGGCGGAAATCCACGCGAATTATCACTTTTCTGAAGGAAAATGAGCTGCTGAATCGATTGAGACCGAGAGCGAGTCGATAGGACGAATACTTTTCGAGATATCGGCACCGAAAGCCAGCTATATGCGTTTATTGCCAATAGGAGCACTTCGGAAGGCTACTGAACCTCTATCTTCCAGAATTTCCCAATTTCCACTATAGATTCTTACATTACGACCTCGAATTGGTCTACATGAATTTTTTCAGATTTTTAATAGGCCGAATAAAAATTTTTATTTTTCCTCCTAACAGTCCTATACGAAAAAACGACCGAGGCACCTTCGGACAGCCGAAAGTACCGGGAAAACGGCGGAAATCCACGCGAATTATCACTTTTCTGAAGGAAAATGAGCTGCTGAATCGATTGAGACCGAGAGCGAGTCGATAGGACGAATACTTTTCGAGATATCGGCACCGAAAGCCAGCTATATGCGTTTATTGCCAATAGGAGCACTTCGGAAGGCTACTGAACCTCTATCTTCCAGAATTTCCCAATTTCCACTATAGATTCTTACATTACGACCTCGAATTGGTCTACATGAATTTTTCAGATTTTTAATAGGCCGAATAAAAATTTTTATTTTTCCTCCTAACAGTCCTATACGAAAAAAAACGACCGAGGCACCTTCGGACAGCCGAAAGTACCGGAAAACGGCGGAAATCCACGCGAATTATCACTTTTCTGAAGGAAAATGAGCTGCTGAATCGAATGAGACCGAGAGCGAGTCGATAGGACAAATACTTTTCGAGATATCGGCACCGAAAGCCAGCTATATGCGTTTATTGCCAATAGGAGCACTTCCGGAGGCTACTGAACCTCTATCTTCCAGAATTTCCCAATTTCCACTATAGATTCTTTCATTACGACCTCGAATTGGTCTACATGAATTTTTTCAGATTTTTAATAGGCCGAATAAAAATTTTTATTTTTCCTCCTAACAGTCCTATACGAAAAAAACGACCGAGGCACCTTCGGATGGCCGAAAGTGCCGGAAAACGGCGGAAATCCACGCGAATTATCACTTTTCTGAAGGAAAATGAGCTGCTGAATCGAATGAAGACCGAGAGCGAGTCGATAGGACGTATACTTTCGAGATATCGGCACCGAAAGCCAGCTATATGCGTTTATTGCCAATAGGAGCACTTCGGAAGGCTACTGAACCTCTATCTTCCAGAATTTCCCAATTTCCACTATAGATTCTTACATTACGACCTCGAATTGGTCTACATGAATTTTTTCAGATTTTTAATAGGCCGAATAAAAATTTTTATTTTTCCTCCTAACAGTCCTATACGAAAAAACGACCGAGGCACCTTCGGACAGCCGAAAGTACCGGAAAACGGCGGAAATCCACGCGAATTATCACTTTTCTGAAGGAAAATGAGCTGCTGAATCGAATGAGACCGAGAGCGAGTCGATAGGACAAATACTTTTCGAGATATCGGCACCGAAAGCCAGCTATATGCGTTTATTGCCAATAGGAGCACTTCCGGAGGCTACTGAACCTCTATCTTCCAGAATTTCCCGATTTCCACTATAGATTCTTTCATTACGACCTCGAATTAGTCTACATGAATTTTTTCTCAGATTTTTAATAGGCCGAATAAAAATTTTTATTTTTCCTCCTAACAGTCCTATACGAAAAAACGACCGAGGCACCTTCGGACAGCCGAAAGTACCGGAAAACGGCGGAAATCCACGCGAATTATCACTTTTCTGAAGGAAAATGAGCTGCTGAATCGAATGAGACCGAGAGCGAGTCGATAGGACGAATACTTTTCGAGATATCGGCACCGAAAGCCAGCTATATGCCTTTATTGCCAATAGGAGCACTTCCGGAGGCTACTGAACCTCTATCTTCCAGAATTTCCCGATTTCCACTATAGATTCTTTCATTACGACCTCGAATTAGTCTACATGAATTTTTTCAGATTTTTAATAGGCCGAATAAAAATTTTTATTTTTCCTCCTAACAGTCCCATACGAAAAAACGACCGAGGCACCTTCGGACGGCCGAAAGTGCCGGAAAACGGCGGAAATCCACGCGAATTATCACTTTTCTGAAGGAAAATGAGCTGCTGAATCGAATGAGACCGAGAGCGAGTCGATAGGACGTATACTTTTCGAGATATCGGCACCGAAAGCCAGCTATATGCGTTTATTGCCAATAGGAGCACTTCCGGAGGCCACTCATCCTCTATCTTCCAGAATTTACCAATTTCCACCATGGATTCTTTCATTACGACCTCGAATTAGTCCACATGAATTTTTTCAGATTTTTAATAGGCCGAATAAAAATTTTTATTTTTCCTCCTAACAGTCCTATTCGAAAAAACGACCGAGGCACCTTCGGACGGCCGAAAGTGCCGGAAAACGGCGGAAATCCACGCGAATTATCACTTTTCTGAAGGAAAATGAGCTGCTGAATCGATTGAGACCGAGAGCGAGTCGATAGGACGAATACTTTTCGAGATATCGGCACCGAAAGCCAGCTATATGCGTTTATTGCCAATAGGAGCACTTCGGAAGGCTACTGAACCTCTATCTTCCAGAATTTCCCAATTTCCACTATAGATTCTTACATTACGACCTCGAATTGGTCTACATGAATTTTTTCAGATTTTTAATAGGCCGAATAAAAATTTTTATTTTTCCTCCTAACAGTCCTATACGAAAAAACGACCGAGGCACCTTCGGACAGCCGAAAGTACCGGAAAACGGCGGAAATCCACGCGAATTATCACTTTTCTGAAGGAAAATGAGCTGCTGAATCGAATGAGACCGAGAGCGAGTCGATAGGACAAATACTTTTCGAGATATCGGCACCGAAAGCCAGCTATATGCGTTTATTGCCAATAGGAGCACTTCCGGCGGCTACTGAACCTCTATCTTCCAGAATTTCCCGATTTCCACAATGAATTCTTTCATTACGACCTCGAATTAGTCAACATGAATTTTTTCAGATTTTTAATAGGCCGAATAAAAATTTTTATTTTTCCTCCTAACAGTCCTATACGAAAAAACGACCGAGGCACCTTCGGACAGCCGAAAGTACCGGAAAACGGCGGAAATCCACGCGAATTATCACTTTTCTGAAGGAAAATGAGCTGCTGAATCGAATGAGACCGAGAGCGAGTCGATAGGACGAATACTTTTCGAGATATCGGCACCGAAAGCCAGCTATATGCCTTTATTGCCAATAGGAGCACTTCCGGAGGCTACTGAACCTCTATCTTCCAGAATTTCCCGATTTCCACTATAGATTCTTTCATTACGACCTCGAATTAGTCTACATGAATTTTTTCAGATTTTTAATAGGCCGAATAAAAATTTTTATTTTTCCTCCTAACAGTCCTATACGAAAAAACGACCGAGGCACCTTCGGACAGCCGAAAGTACCGGAAAACGGCGGAAATCCACGCGAATTATCACTTTTCTGAAGGAAAATGAGCTGCTGAATCGAATGAGACCGAGAGCGAGTCGATAGGACGAATACTTTTCGAGATATCGGCACCGAAAGCCAGCTATATGCCTTTATTGCCAATAGGAGCACTTCCGGAGGCTACTGAACCTCTATCTTCCAGAATTTCCCGATTTCCACTATAGATTCTTTCATTACGACCTCGAATTAGTCTACATGAATTTTTTCAGATTTTTAATAGGCCGAATAAAAATTTTTATTTTTCCTCCTAACAGTCCTATACGAAAAAACGACCGAGGCACCTTCGGATGGCCGAAAGTGCCGGAAAACGGCGGAAATCCACGCGAATTATCACTTTTCTGAAGGAAAATGAGCTGCTGAATCGAATGAGACCGAGAGCGAGTCGATAGGACGAATACTTTTCGAGATATCGGCACCGAAAGCCAGCTATATGCGTTTATTGCCAATAGGAACACTTCCGGAGGCCACTAATCCTCTATCTTCCAGAATTTCCCGATTTCCATTATAGATTCTTTCATTACGACCTCGAATTGGTCTACATGAATTTTTTCAGATTTTTAATAGGCCGAATAAAAATTTTTATTATTCCTGAATGGAATCTTTTAACAATTCATTTCCTCCTTTTATTTTATTTTTGAATTGGGCAAACCCAGCACTTACGCGTTGTATGTAATTTTTTTTTTTATTATCATTATTAAAAATAACAAAACAACCCGCGACCGCAAAAATTATCTCATCTTCGCCGTACAACATGGCTGACTGTGTTGTGTTACACTTTGCATACACGATGTTCAAAGCAACATCATGCAACATTGTTGTCTTTGTGAAGACACTTTGTTGGTGAAAGTTGTTCTAGACATTTTGTATCTCCAACAAAGTTGAACAACAAAATTGGACTATGGTGGTCTGTGTTGTTCAGGTGGAGAAATACCTTTATAAGTGACTAATATTTCATTATTTTTTCAAACTTGGTACCTATACTTGATACCTAATAACTTTCAAACTTCCAATCTTAATTTCCCTGACTCAAGAAACTTATCTAATTTTATGCACGACCGGTCGTAAAGTGGCATTTTATCGCCCGGATTAACGGGCGTACAGTAGCACTTTCTAGTAGACTACCTTTCGATTTTTTTCGTCAGTGGCATACATAATTTGACCAAATGAATTCAAAATCAATAATGAACAATTCCATATTGACATTAAAATGAATGTCTGAAACGGTCGTGCATAAAATGTTGTATGTATTTCGGGCGTAACACGCTTTTATGGACCCAGGCGTACTAATACCTACTTGATAATTATGAATTAATGACTATTTCAGTGCCATTTTCGACGTGATAATGAAAATGGTGTACGGAGTGACTTGGATCACCCCTGTGGGGGTGTGTAGTCTGATCTGCAGCAAAATTCTCTCTGTGAACGATTTGTATCGAGTGACTGTCCAATTGGGGTGGTTTATAATGACTGTTTTGATCGGTGTCATGTTGTATCAACTAGTGATTATGCAACTGTTGTACATGGTCATCGTCAAGAAGAATCCCTATCAGTATTATGTAGCGTTGGCGCCAGGTAACTATACTCACCACCAAAAAAACCGGCCATATTGATCGCCCTGTAACTCTTTCAATTCTTTCCCGATATTGGCGAAATTTTCACCAAATCGTAGATTCATGTTTTGGAATGTTACCCTGAATTTTAGTTCCCAAGAAAAGCTGATGGCTTGATCATTATACACGAAAAAACAAAAGATAGTCTTTGTTAGCGACTAGCAAGTAGATGCGCTACTGCTCAGTGGAATGTGCTTAGATCAGAGCCTATGACAGACATGTGTGAAGACTGGCTCATATAGTGTTCGACAGGCAGCCGAATCAAGAGCAAGTGTAACCCTTGTCCACGTCATTTGTGCTAGTATTTATTGAATTGTGATCATAATATAACAGTCTTTCACCCTTAACTTCGTAACGCCCTGTGACAAAAGACACTGGTTGAACTGAAATTCACTATCTATAAGTATGGAATATTTCAATTTTTATTAACCGAAATTCTCGTCCGTTCAAGAGCTACGATTCGCTCTTCAAAAAGAATTTTAGGCAATTCCTCATGACTGCTGCACACTTGTTTTTATTTACATATAAGAAGTCTGCTCTTTGTTGTTTTTGTTTTGATCGTTACAGTAGGAAGTAGACTTCGTAAGAATAAAATGATGGAGTCTCAATCTTTTCCTGAAATGGAAAATAACCCAAGAAAGTGTCTTCAAGTGGATGAAACCATAACTGTGTGGAAACGAAGAAATCACAGACGATCGATATCATAAACATAAACATGTGATAATAAGTATTTTCCTAGTAAAAAATAACAATAGAAGGTATTAGAAATCACTCAATGAATACTTTTGAAGCTTACACAGCTCACCATCCAATAATAGAGATACACATCACAAATATCGGAATATGACAATATCACAATAAACCTTTATTCAAATAATTAGACACAGATAGTTTGAGGGTAGCTGAAATCACAAAACTATTCTAACATCGAAATATTTATTATAGCATATGGGTGGAGTGAAGAAATATGCATGAACAAGTATAAAAGACCTATAATAAGAATGTTATGTTGATTACCATTACGACGCGTCGAGAGTAGCCCCAGACCAGATAACTTTGGAACCTTCACATCCAGTCTATTATAGGTTTGCACGTTTCTCATGAGAGTGTCTGATTCAAACTTACTGATTTAGTGATTTATTGATATTCGCGATAGAATATAAGCGTACGCCACCTATCGGAGTTCTTGAAAGCTGTCAACGCGGCCTGTCTACTTTGTTTTCATTGGTTCACATTTGTTTTTTGTTTGTTCTTATTGGTGAAATCAGTAAAACAAACCGCTCAGAAGTGTTCAAGCTGTTGCCGTGAAGTGAAGCGACGTGTTATTTTCTATCGCGAATATCATTTTTTACTCGTGGCACTACTGACATTACAGTATTGACGTAACGCAGATGCACCAACAAGTTAGATGTGAAGTTCCCAAAAACAACAAAAACTAATTTTTCTTCTGAATAACTTTCATTAGAAAGATGAGTGGACTCGTACAATCACCAAAATAAAGCCATTTGAGTAATCAAACTTACATGAAATTGCTTCTACTGTGGTAGAGGTTTTTAGGTTGGTCACTTGTTTGTAAAAAAAACAAGGTGAGAATAAGTGATATTGATTCCCAGCAATTCCAGCACGATTTCCAGAAGTTTTTTCTAAGTTGTTGATCAAAATTTCATGTAGATTCTGAATTATTGTGATAACAATTTTGAAAATCAATAGATACTTTTTTTAAAACACTCATATCTTCTCCTAAACAGCAGATATTGACGTGATTCAAAAAACATTGTGTTATGAAAAGGGATCACACTTCAATTCAAAACAGATTGAAGAAGAGTTTAACCACCCACTTTTGCCACAGGACAGGGCGTTAAGAAGTTATGGGTGAAAGAGTAACTTTTGTTTTTTTCCTGTATAATGATCAAGCCATCCTTTCTTGTGAACTAAAATTCAGGCTAACATTCCGGAAACATATATCTACGATTTGTTCACCAAAATAGGACACGAATTAAAAAAGTTGCAGGGCGATCAATTCCACTAATTTTTTTCTCGCTGTTTTTTTGCCGGTGTGTGTATTATCAAATTTTACTACCACAACCATTTTTGTGGATAAGTAATTTTTAGGAATGTTGACTGCATTCGCGACGGCTTCCACAGCAGCTTCTCTACCGATCACTTTCGAGATAATGGACAAAAAAGTGATGATAGAACCGAAGATAAGCAGATTTGTACTTCCCATAGGATGCAATGTGCACCTGGATGGAACGGCAATGTTCCTACCTATAGCAACCATTTTTATTGCACAAATATCCGGAATCTCATTGGGAATCGGAAAATTGATCACAGTAGGGTACGTATAACAATTGGCGAAGACAAATTTTCAGAGAGAACCAAGAATGGGGGAGTTTCCTTGCGATGAATTTTCATAAAATAAGTTCGGAACTCTCCAGTTTTATGTCCACGCTGTACACAATGGCGACCGATAAAGTCCAAGTCGTTTTCATTTTCAAAGTGAATGAAAAACGAATGAAAAAAATAAAAGAAGAAGTAAAACTGGCAAACAAAACATACATAACCACAAATGCACTCGGAGCAGGAATGCGGAGGGTAGTTGGCTTCATTCTGACAGGTTATAGTTTTGTTAATTATGCATTGAAATATCTCGAATAGTGGTCGATCCTCAACTGAAATATCGATAAATCAATGAAACCCTATCGGCTGCATTCAATGATACTATCCTTCCTAATTTACTGTCATCGGTCAGAACAGAATGAAGCCGACACCCATGGCTCCTTCCTCTTGTTATGCCTGTCAGGATTTTGAGTGGTGTGGACGGACTCGAAGTATTAGGCGCTGTTGCAAGATATAATCTGCAACTTTTCTAGAAAATACATTCGTTTTATTAAGGAACGAATTCATTAGAAATAAAAATGACTGACAAGTTATGAATAACATATTATGATATAAAGATAGTGAAAAATTATAGATACTATCGCAGAATACCATAAATTATCTTTATTAGAAATCAACTCCATTCAGCCAATGAGATATTTATGGGAATTATTCATAAGACTTGAAAAAATAGGATTGAAGGACCTATTTTATCCCATTGCTGTTGTAATATAGTTATTATGCATTCAATGAACAATTTCCGGAAATCTAGACATATTGATGATGTCGGCAACGTCGTACTGGCACAGAAAATCATATTTTAACTCTGTGTGAATGTCGATTTTCAGAAAGTGCGTCATAGGAACGGTGGAGGAGCCAAGTTCCTCTTTTATTTTTTTTTTCTGAAGTGAAATTTGGTCTCACGAAAAAAAGAAAAAATATGTATATATTAATCCTTTACAAATCTCACAGTGAGATAAATACCTCAATATAGGAATCTTCCCCATTCCCGAATGCTGACCAGTCTATCTTGAGTTGGCAGCATTAAAATTGAACAGGAAAAATACTGATTAATTGTTATTTTCCTTCAGCATTGTATCTGTCATCACTTCCCTTTCTTCTGCAAGTGTTCCCAGTGGTGCATTGGTACTCCTTTTATCCGTACTTGCCTCGATTGACGTATTTGTTCCGGAAGTGTCTCTATTATTCGCCATAGATTGGCTTGTGTGAGTTCAACTGTTCAGTTTAGAAAATTGAAAATTATCTAATTCTTTTTTCAGCGATCGTATTCGTACCACAAATAATATGCTTGGCAATTGTTACACTGCCGCCATAGTTGAAAAGTTGTCGAAAATTGAGTTATCGTTGGATGATTCTACTGTTATAAAGGTGAGTGTTTTCAAATATATTTCAAAGAATATTTTGAAGAATCGGATAGAAAAAACCGGACCATTTTACGTGATTTCAAAATTATTTAATAATTTAGTTATAGAAGTATACAGGGTCAGGGTGTAACTGAATAAGTGTAAAACATTTGAGGGGCTGATTCCTCTTCGAAAAAAAGATGGGATTTTTCATGTAAAGCAACTTCATTTGAGCATTCCATGTTGAGATACAGTCCCTTGAAGGGGGTACATAAAATTTGTTCAAGCATTTTTTTCACAAGCACTAAAAAAGTCACAGTATTGAAATTAACCTGACATTTTCTACTACGAAAAAGACACTTAGCCAGTAATTTATTTGGTTCACCCCATGGTTGTGAGGGGTGGAAAACGCAACACCTAAATTTTATTTCCAATGTAACTTTTTGTCTTATGAATTGTTCACCATTCAAAAATTTATTTCCGATAGCCTGTTTCATTCTAAATAAAAAATGTCCCCTGAATTTTTTGCCCAAAATAAACCAGTTGGCAGCAAAAAAATATGTTACGATCAACTACAGAGATACATCGACATAAATGCGAACTGGATTTATTGTCATTTTGTATTTACTACCTGCGTTAAATAATTAAAGGGATTAAACCATGGGGTGAACCAAATAAATTACTGGCTAAGTGTCTTTTTGGTAGCAGAAAATGTCAGGTCATATTGAATTCTGTAACTTTTTTAGTGCTTGTGAAAAAAATCTTTATGTACCCCCTTCAAGGGGCTGTATCTTGACATGTGATGCTCCAATGAAGTTTCTTTATATGGAAGATTATATCTTTTTTTCAATGAGGAATCACCCCCTTAAATGTTTTACACTCATTTAGTTACACCCTGTATATGAGTAGAATAAGTGAGGTGAGAATTAATAGTTAAGAAGAATCGGTCATCATCATCATTTTATTTTGTAAAATTAATTTTCGTTTCTTTATTGCAGAAAGAATGCCATGATGTTTTAGAGACTCTGGTGAAGAAACCAGGAGATTCTATTGATTTTGTATAACACTAGGAAATAATTGTGTTTTTCATTGAACAATAAGCATCCAACAATAAAGGTATTTTGTTATTATAAACAGAACCGGTAGGAACAATCTAAATTACCTAACGTCTGTAAATACTGAACTGTCAACAATACAAACTTTATAAAAAAGTTATGATAACATTTAGTTGCTTTACTATAAAAATCATTTGCTTCATCGATCATCAGTTTTCTTATGGTCTGGTTGATCGTCATGATTGTTTTCTTTCTCAAAGATGAACCACTTTTTTTTATTGACTAGGAACAAAATCATTATCAAGGGTAAATGAATCAGGGAGAACCTGAACAATTTCCGTGACGATGCACTGGACGAATCCTTGTAAAACTGATAGGCTGAAAAAAACAACAATCAAAATTGAAATAAATGAATGAAGAAAAACTTTTTTTGAAGCAATGGTTTTCTTTCCTTTATTCAAAGATACCAATGATCAAGTAAAAGAAAACCATTGTAGAAAAAAAAAATCTTCAACAAGACTCACCCAAATAAATAAAATAGAGATTAAGTGGCGTTGCTCCCAACAAAAACCACCACGTGGTGGTACCGGTGATCGGGGCGGCCATGGAAATCCCCTGCAACGCCACCGCATGTCTCAGGGCCACCCTTCTACACAGGGCGGGCTCAGTGACTGCCATCATGCGGTAGCCCGCCCTGGAATAGTCCGGCCGCAGGTTCCACGAGAGCGCGTTGAAGTGGGGGAATTGCCAGCTGTAGAGCAGAGCGGCCATTAGCCAGGCGCCCGGGGAGATCAGGCTGCCCGTGCAGGCTGCCCAGCCCATCAGGGGCGGCATGGCGCCCACTGGAAAGCGAACGGTTTCAGATGGAACGAGGTAGGTGATACGTGATGAACGAATTACCAATGAGGCTTTAATCAACTAAAAACTAGACATACAGGTTGGGACATGGCTCGGCTGTGGAATCCTGGGATAAAATCAAGTCGATTTAGGCCAACTTACCTATATCTAGGGTCCCTTGATGGAAATTGACGTAAAAGTCATCTTAACAGGGTACGGACAGATCATAGCTGCATTCTTTTTTAATGATCTAGAGACTTTAGTTTTGTCTACTGGCAACCCTGACATTGCTGTCATGTCACATTCAAGGGCGTTACAGAAAATCATTCAAAATTTTAATAATTGGTATGTACAGGGTATTTACTTGTTGAGGAAGAATATATGGCCAGTATGGCGAACGAGTTTTGTCATTATGATCCGATTCTATTCAAAATTGGAAGGTGTCTGGGGTTTTCCGGGGTTGGAGATAATGATTGTTTCGTCAAACTTGTAAAATTCAAGATGACGGATCCAATATATATAGCGAAAGAAATTTAAGATTGGTTTCTGTGGGTTTTCGGGGTCGAACTTCATGATTTTTTATCAAAATTGGGAAATTCAAGATAGCGGATCCAATATGGCGAAGAATTTTGTTATTATGATCCGATTCTATTCAAGAATCAAAATTGGTATCTGGGGATTTCCGGGGTCGAAGATTATAATTATTTCGTAATTGAGATATTCAAAATGGCGGATCCAATATGGTGAACGAGTTTTGTAATGAAGATCTGATTCTATTCAAAATTGGTATCTGGGGGTTTTCGGGATAGGAGATAATGATTGTTTCGTCAAAATCAAAAAATTCAAGATGACGGATCCAATATGGCGAAAGACATTAGTTTATTTAATTATAACTTCACCACAAATAAAAAATATGTAGGACGCAAGAGTGGAAATAACGTGTCTATAAGTAATACTGCGTACACCCATTTCTCAATCATAAGGCTCAGTTCATTCAGATCATAGATAAACTTCTGCTCAGCTTGAAATCAGAATTCATTTAGTCAATTCAGCCAACCCTGGTATACAGTCTAAGAACAGTCTCTTTTGCTTTCAGTACAATTTATATGTTTCCTACCTCGCAAAGATTATGCTGGAGTAGTAAACTCTAAAACTAGAGGATTGTTCATCTATATCTTGGTATAGTTGAATCAGGAATTCCATATGGAAATAACTTATGATACGCCAGTGAACTCAATGTAACCTAAAAAACGAAGAATGTCAAAAATCTAGTGTTAATCCCCAGAATTGAATAAGGATGGAACTATGGGCGTGTTTTTCATTCCATCGAAGAAAGTGCGCACTGATAGATGCGGTTTTTTGTCGTGACGTCACCAATTGTTTTGTTGGAATTTATGCTGGAAGGATTGAACAATGGTTTATACAACACATTGATGGAAACACGGATTTTGTTGTGTGTCAGTCATCATGTATCTTGAGAATCAGAAAAGGCTAATTCGATTTTATTGATTAACACTGACTCTTTCTTCTAAAATCTCTCAAGAATCTCAAAAATCCTCAATATTAATTGGTTTCTATCAAATCAAAACAAAAAACAACACTAAAATGTGTCAACTGTCATGTCAATCTCCTCCAAACTGCTGGATTCTCGAAATGCGATTTAAAAGTGCGCATTTTATTACAACAGTTTGATGGATGTCCATCAACATTCCAGCGGAATTTTGCAACAGTTTGATGGTTTCTTCGATTCATGCGCATAAAATGTTGGAATGAAAAACGCACCCTATATAACTGTTTCACAAACACTTTAGAGTGAGAGGAGACGAGGATCTGTCCGTACCCTGTTAAGATGACTTTAACGTCAATTTCCATCAAGGGACCCTACCTATATGCAAAATCGTTTTGTTGGGTTGGTACAAGGCGTTAAAATGCTCATCTTAGGTCCTGAATAGTTATCGCAAAATTTGTTACGCGAGAGTTCTTGTAAAGCCCGCGAGGACCAGCAACATATCAGTTTGTTCACAATAAGAATACATTGTAGCCATGATCAATAAACAGTCCGACTAATTATATTAATTTTCCCGATACTTACATAGTATGTAAGTATCGGGAAATAATATATTATACCATAATGAGTGTCCCTTCGGCAACAGGAGCGCCGGATTTAAATTTCCCGCCATTTTGTTAATAAGAATTGTACGGCGATTTTTTTTTCACACGTTAGAAAAATGGTGAAAGTTTTGTGAAAACAGTTCGCCAATTACGTCAAGTTTTCGGTCACAATAAGACGCCAAATGAATTGACAGTGAGGCGTTAAATTTAAAAATTTGCGACTAAATTCACGCTGATGATCTGTTTTTGCAAAACTCTCGCCATTTTTGTAATGCGGTTTTACAATAATTAAATGTTGTTCCTTTGAATACTTCTCCATATTGTTAAATCGCGTGGTCTACGTGGCAACTGTGAAAAAAAATCACCGTAAAACTCGTATCAACAAAATGGCGGCGAATTTTAATCCAGCGCTCCTATTGGGACACACTTTACAAAAGATATAATTCAATATTCTGTGGTATTAGCCAGAGAAATAGTTGTTACCTATCTGTTGAGATATTTTGACAATGATTTGAAAAACTTATTCCCAACCAAGGGGTTTCTCGGACAATGAGAAACTGATTATAGATCATAATGCGTCTTTATTCCATTTACACATGAATTAAATAACCAATTTTCGAACTACAGAATGTCAAACAGGGTGTAACAAATATGTTCTTTGCTCTTCAGAGTATTCTGCATTCAATAACTAGTTTTCAAGCTATACTGGGGTAATTCAAATTCGAAGGTATAGGAGATACAAAGATAGTTAAATTAGGTCAAAGTTGTGCATTTATCTTGATAAACCATATTATTTTTTTTCTGGGGTGAATCTGAAAATGTCATTGTATAGCAGAGGCAAAGTGGCAATGTAAATGTGCTCTTAATTTTGATGTTCTCCAACAAATAACAGAAAAAAAATAAAATGATTTACATATATCTCCAGAAATACTGGGAATTTTAAAAAATTCTCTACCTTATATTTTTAGTCACATAAATGTGGAACATTGCCCTAATTTAATCATCTTCATATCTCCTATAGTTTCTTTCTCTTCTTCTTTGCTATTTACAGTATTTTACATTAATTGTTTATGTTTTTAGAAATGAACTCATCCTATCCAAGTTGGATCTCATAGATCCCTTTATTTATTGCATTCTATTAATAGACAGAACTGGCAAACAAACAGCTAGAATTGGTCCCCATATATAGTTTTTCATATACAGGATGATAATTTCAATAATGATATGACCAAAATAGGATACTTACCAATTAAAAAGCGTTCATAAGTGTTTCTGGAATATGAAGGGCAAACTAAAATGTTTCATGGAAGAATTTATCCCCAGTTACCCCAACACAAATAATTTCAATACTACTACTTGTGAAAACTCATTCTAGTTGGGAAGATTTGGCATTGGGGCTAATAATAAGCTATTGAAATATTTTCAACAATAGTCATGAAGGTACTGGTAGAATATATTTTTCCTCATTCTTATGAAGGATTATGAGATATAAAAAACAGATTTGCCCCTTTTCAACATGAAATATAGGATTCATAGGATTCAAATTATGCAAAAACTTGAATCTGTAACAAAATTTCATTGAAAGTTGAAACTTGTTAAATAAATGTGAGGGGTTAATCTCTTTGGAAGTCTAGTGTACACTGACAGACAGTGCAAGTCAATGGAAATCATGGGAGTCTCTTGTTCAAATAGTGTATTTTGTGGAGATTTACCCATGAAATAAATGTAATTAAATAGTGGGTTTTAGACAATAGAAAAACACTCATGAAACTATTTATTTATATTTTCAAGTACATATCACTTACCAATGGAACCAACCCATGTATTCAAAATGCTCATTCTCTTCATAGGAGTGTAAATGGAAGTGTACAAAATCAAATTAGCAAGACCCAAACTTGCAGTGAGACCATTCACTCCAAAATAAAGAATTCCCACACCACTTAAACTTGTCATACTTGCAAACACCATGGATTGCAGTGGCCTGAAAAACAACATCTACTTTTTTAAATTCCTCCTTGAATAGATCCAAAAGGCAGCTTACGTTAGTCTTCCACAAACAATTATTCTGTTCTTTGTTCTTGACATTTGGGCATCAAATGGAACTTCATGGAATTGATTGACAGAATTTGCTGCTGCTGACAATAGGCCTGTCCCTAAGGAGCACATGGCAAAAGTTGTCCACTCAAAGGGGGCAGGAGCTACTGCATATCCAGCCATTGAAGTTATCACTACCATTGCTTAACATAAAATACCCTAATCACAATTTTTTCATGTTAATATACATTCTCAATAAATATAAATAATGTTTCAGCAGACAATCAGTGATACCAATAAGATGTTTTGAAATGGTGTGTTCATAATAATATATACTCACTTGTTAGGCGTATTTTAGACAACTTCAAGTAATGTTTGATAATGTTGGATCTATCTGTGGAAGGAGTAGGTCTCCATGAAGGTACATTTTTTGGTTTATGAGGCTGCAAACTAGGTCCATTTTCATCTGATATATGTGTTACAATAGGAGTTGAAGATTTGGCATTGCTTTGAGTGACATATTTTAGGGATATTCCAAATGTAAGAGGTTTCTGAAATGGAAAATAATTTCAACAAACCTGTTTTAATATCATTAAATACCTATCGATATTATATTTTCAATCATAATAATAAAATGAATTGTTTACCTTAAATAGTTGATAGGGCACCCACAAACTTGACGTTTTACATAACTTTATGTGAGAGAATGTTACTTTGTACATAGTCCAGATGATATTTGTTACATGATTTAGAATTATTCTAGTTCGCAAATGTTTCTAGGATGTTCAATTCAAGCTATTATTGTTGAGTACATTTTTTTTTTAATGATAGATTATCTTGTGAGAAACTGAGAAAGTGTTTTAGGTTAGGTTGCCCGTTGTTACCAGTTTTGTTCCTGTATCTGATTTTTTCGTAATAGATTTCCTTGGAAAAAGGTAACAGATTTGTATCAAAAGGTAATAGACTCGAAAAATCTGACATTTGCTATTCTGAATGTCATTCTTGTCAAACCCTATCTCACAAATCAGACAGTTTTGACAAGAATGAGGCAGAAGTCACACATAGATTTTTTTAGTAACAAAACATATTTTGGTGCTAACAGCAAATAGTAATAGATTCATGACAAATCGTAAAACAATCACCGTGAAATAGTAATAGATCTATTACAAAAGTAATACTAACAACACTGGTTGTTACCCTACTACCCTACTTCTTCTTTTAAAAGACATAACACTCAGCACTCAGAGTACTCGGTACCAAAACAGAACAGACACAGAGCAGATCACTGGCAAAGGCCCAAGTCTGCACACGTCAAATTATCTCTGATTCGTGTTCCGTGGTTCATGTGTCTACGAGCCTGTGTACTTGTATGTTCTGTGTCAAACTCCCAAATCCCACCAAAATGGCTTCGACTTGCACAATATTTGAAAGTTTTTGTTGAAAATATCCAGATAAATAGTTTATACAGGTGAGTTTATGTTGTTTGTATTATACATTGATCAATTGTACTTCTATATTCTTTTCTTAAGAATGTATTATTCTTCTGAACAGTTGAGGATCAGCTATTATAGGTCATTTAAGTGATGTTCAATTATGTCTCACAACTCTTTACATGAATTTACCTATGTTATGTAGCAATTATTGTAGCATAGACTTTCTGCTCAAGATACAACAACACTGTGTAATCCATGTTCTTAGTCAACTCTGTTTCGATGTTCTTCTTGTGATTCATTGTTGAATCAATAAGTTTTTCATCAGAAATGTATTGTTGTTTTCGGTTTTCGATAAATGGGTGAAAATTTTTCATAATACTCACTCTAATACATAGCTTTATACCAGCAACAGTTACCACTTCATCATTTTCAAATCGAAATATTCCGAAAACGGAACACAGTGTCGAGTTTCACCAAGAGTACCTTTTTGGTGTGACATTGAATGATGTTCAAGTTCACATCAAATTTGGACTGAAAAAGCTAACCTCAAAAAAGTTATGTTCAAAACTACTCGGTACGGCAAAAAGGGCCCATGGGGGCCTACTTGCCTGGCTACAGCCTCCCCACAATACTACTACTACTACTCGGTACGAACCGTGTGTGTAACTAGCGCCCTCTATGAGAGTCAGATATAAAAACAAATTCATGGGATGTGTCAGATTTCAAGAAACATCCATACAAAATGTCATTACAATGTTGCCAGTTGATTCGACATAATCGTGTAAAATGTGTAAAAAAATAATTTGTTCAACACCTTGTATCTTGAAAACGGACACCGTTACGACATTTTTTCACTGAGCAAACCCAACTTATTTTGCAGTGTTCTGCCCTAACAAGGGAGTCAGTTTTTTTTGAAACACCATGTATATTTTTAATATGAAGTTCATTCGAATTTCAATTGATTTTTCTGGGAGTTGGTTTCTCATTCTTACGAAATGTATTTCCATTAGTTAGTTCATTTTATACTTCAGTGGTATATGTTTAGTCCAAAAGACCATTGATTTGCGGGTCTTCCGCAGCTATGCTCATTTTAGTGATATTTTTGTTTTCAAGTAGATGTTTGCTAAAGAAAGTTAGTATACAAGGTGTTTTTGAAATAAGTGCACATATTCAGCACATGCCCATGATATCAGATTTTTTCTAGAGAAATTTCATACCAAAAATTGAATAAAATACGAAAAAAAAAATCAAATACGCCACTTTGAAACAATTTAAATGATTGAACTCTGCGTGATTGTGGTGTGGTGAACAGTGGTGACGTCAGATTTGCTACATGTGTAGAACTTTGGGTGGAAAAAAGGGTCTAACCTCAAATTCTATTTCGATCCCTAAATTTTTTTATTAGTGCCATTCGATATAGTAGGTACACGTCGAGCTTTCTCAGTGTTTGAAATATTTGCACTTATTTCAATGCCATGCCATTATTTTGACTCCTAATATAATTTTCCGGAAATTGGGGTGGTTCCATGGCTGTTGGGGAGCAGTGTATATCACTGAAAAGGACCCCACTTGGTCATAGAGTGGATTTTTGGTATATCTCTAGCTCCAGCAAATTTCAGGATCCTTACCCAACGATTATGTAAGATACAGGGGAGTTACAAGTTACTTTCAGCAAGGAAGCTTTTTAAAAAACGAAAAATCTTTCACAGGGTCTTTATTTACTTGCGAACAAGACAAACAACAGGCAAAGACTGAATTCAAATATATGAAATGATACAGAACGTAAACTCATTTATGATGAGTTTGCAAAGATTACAGTTTCGTCGAAATAAGCTGGAAAGTGTCTGTAACTCCTCCGGCGCTAGTTGAGAACTATGGGGTTGGACCAGAGTTCGATGAAAATCTGACGTCGGGGGTTGATTTTGTTCCTTGAATCCTCAGCACCTCGTTCAGGGTTGAATTTCTTGAGAGCATCTTCTTCATGTAGAGACGGCGTAGTATGTAGACTATACCAATACCAATCAATATATACAAAAATATCGTATATACACTAATTTTGTTGTAATGGAACGTCGAATTGTCGATGTTGGTTAGCTGTTGTTTTTGGTCCTCCAAAATGTTGTAGATGCCATCCATGTCGTCTAGATTGATGTGTTCTAACTGCAATGGCTGAAAACTAATTTCGGTTTCAACATTAGTGTCCGGAAATGTCTGTATATTAGGCAGTTCGATATTTTTATAACTGGGTTCACTATTTTCGAATGTCTTTAAAACAATGTCCTTAATATAAACTTCACAGAGATTGTTGAGCTCTATGATATAAGTCCCATTAAGAGGAATATTGTCTTTATTTTTACCGCACTTTTGGGTAGCCACTATGTTTTCGGGGGTTATAACAATCCATTGATTTTTCTCTAATTTCTGAATTTTCGGTTTCTTGATTTCGGCTGGTATCTGTCTGCAGCTTGTGTTCGTTGAATATTTGAGTAGTTGGATCTCACAAGGAATACTGTCTTCGATCTTCGTTGTTTGTACATCTTGACACAGGAACTCTTCGGGGGTGACTTCTTGGCATTTAACATCCGAAAAGGCGTAGTTGTGCTCATTCAATAAAAGGAATTTCGAGTGGGGTATTATAGTTTTGAAGGAATTAACTGTAGGAGTTGGCAATGGATATAAATGATAGTAACTATAATCATCTGCTTCTACGATTGGAATTTCTATGATGAAAATGATTTCGTTTCTTTTACTGTAGCTTTTAATTTGCATTGTTTTTTCGAATAAAAGTAGGTTTTTTACTAATGGTTCAAAAGGAAATCTATTTTGCTTCAAGTGTTTACTGATTGCAGTAATTTCGGCAAATAATTCGATTGGTTCGATGATTGAATTATGAAACGTGTTTAATTTTGCAAAAGTGATTGCTATTTCGATTTTTTCCAGTATATCATACATAATTTGGAAGGTATTTATGAACTGTGAAATAATTGTTTGTAACAGAAAATAATGATAATTTTGAACATTATCGATGTGGATGGTTTTGATGATTTCTTGCAATTCCTTTACTCGAGAATTCATTACTTCTTGATTGTGAGCAAGAATTTCGGTATCGTTTTTGAATTTTTGAATGGATGTTTGCAGGAGAGTGATTTGATTACCAATCAATGATTTCAATTTATTTTGATTATCAGATAGTGATGAAATGGCTTTGTCATATTTTTCAGCATCGCTACTGTCGAGATTTCCTGTGATTGCTTTAAGAACTGAACCGAGTCCATCTATAAGAGCTCGTCTCGTTTTCATTTTCCACTGTGGATTCAGTTGACTTATTTGTGTAAGAATTTTATTCTCCAATATACTCAGAACATGATGGGAATTATGGAATTCTTTGTCGTAACCAGGTCCATGTGTAGAGTTTTCGAATGCGTTTTTTATTCGTGAATAACTACTTCGTAGAGTCATGAATTCGTCAATTATATTTGAAATGTCATAAATTTGTATAAACGTCCAAGAGTCAATTTTGTTTTGTGTGTTGCCAAGTTTCAATGTAAGGATTCCAGGATTTATGTTAAGGTTATGGACTTTGACGGGTTCTAGTCTTCCGTAGATGATACAGAAGGTGGATCTGTAACAACAGAAGGTTTTTTCAATTCTTTTATGTGGATGATTTCTTGTTTGTTAGGGTGATACTTATTTCTTATTTCTACACGGTTCCTATCTAGCATTTTCGTTATTTCATATGGGCCTATGAACTTTTTATCTCTTTTATTGCGTGATTTCGAATTCTTTTTATATACTGTTTGACCTAAACGAAATTCAGAGCTTGTGTCACCTTGTGTATTATTTTTCGAAACTATTTTGCGCTTTTTATCTTCTAATTTATCTTTTACTACTTGATATACGTGTTTCAGTTTTTCTTTGTGTTTCTCAGCATATTCAGTATAAAATAGATTGGGAATAAAAATTTCGTTTGGATTTCTCGAATCTGTATGACCGAAAGTGAGTTCGAAAGGCGAGTACTCGGTGGAACTATGAATAGAACTATTGTAGCCTAGTATAGCGTAATCCATGAGGTCGTTGCTTTCGTCCGGGTACATTTCTTGCAGAATTCGCAAATGTTCTATGATTGTCGAGTGAAAACGTTCAACTGGAGAGTTTGATTCATGATGCGTGGGTGTAGTAAAATGCACGTTGATTTTATGTAATTTGAGGATTTCTTTTACGGTTTCATTATTAAACTCCGTTCCATTGTCAACTATGAATGTCTGAGGTACACCAAATGAAGTGAAATA